ACAACATTTATCCAATTAAGGCCCAGGGAACTTTGAGCTCAGGGTGACAAACCCTCCCCACAGGGTCACAGATACAGGACACAGAGAACAGGGAGCAAGCAGACTGCTGTCAGTGCCAATAAGGTCTGCGGGGACTTTTCAGGCCAGGATGTCAAATTCTGTGCCCTGATAACCACAGTCCTGCTGTTCATGCAGCTGATGCCTGGGTGCCCCTTCCGTGCTTGAGGTCATGCTACAGACATTCTGGAGTTTGCTGAATGCCTACCAGATAAAGGATGGATGAGCTGGAGTTCAACCCAAGTCAGGGTCCTTCCCACAGGACCCTGCTCTGATTCCCACTGTCCCAGTCACACCCCAGTGCCTCTCAAGCTCCAGGCTCAAAGGCCTGGGGTAGAGTGGGACAGACAGCCCAAACGTGCTTGCTTCTCAAAAGATATCAAAGCCTCCTGGGAGCAGAAGCAGGAGCAGAACCTACAGGGCCAGCTGTCAGCAGCAATGTACAGCATTGCCAGCAGCCAATGACAGCAGCCAGAAAGCAGTCAGGAAATTGGTCAAGGGGACCAGGACATCAGTGCTGACAGGACAGTGCCCACCCCATGCACCTCTACCTAGTGCAGAGGGAAGAGCCTGGATGGAAGAGGATCACAGGCACTGTTGTCCAAGTTTCTCCCTACAAGGGCTCTCAGCATCGTGCCCACTCATGCTTAGGATCCAGTGTGGCCACTCAGTTTCTTCCTGGGAAAAGTGCCCAGCAGCCCTGGCTGACCAACTGTCTTTAAGAACAATACCCACTGATGCTGATCAGAAAAACACATCCCTGCCTCTGCTGCACACAACACCAGCCAGCAGATGGAATTATGCTCATTTCAGCTCCTCAGAGTCAGGCTGTGTCCGTGCAGACAGAGTGATGAGAAGTGGCAGGTGCTTGCTGCCAGCTCTGGTCTGCCCAGCCCCAAGGCCGGAGCTTCCAACCTCCCTGCTGAGGTGTAGCCAGCTCCTGACAGGGCACAGCTATTCATGCTGGGCCCTGGGGAACCAGATAGGGCTGAACTGAGCAAATCAGCATCCCTAGTCGAGCAGGGACAGGGAGCACACAGGCTTTAGCTCAGCATCTTCATTCCCTGGGATCAGCCCCAAGTAACAACTGGGCTTCTGTGAGCAACTGAAGCAGAGAAGTTGGCTGTATGTGCTGGTACCTTCCACATACCAACTGGACACCAAGAGCCCTTCTCTGCCTTCCTTCAAGGCCTTTGTTTCAGGCCCATGGACCTCAGACAAGATCCAGCCAGGCTGTTTATGAGAAACTTATCTCATTGGCACATCACAGCCATGGTTGCAAACTCCCACTGACCCTCATTACAGGTGCGTTTCCAGCTTGGCTTCACAGCATCACCCATCAGAAGGCAGAGCCCATCTCCCTGTCCCCTAGAGCTGCACTTTCAGCCCAAGGAGCCTTGAGGCTCCAGAGGAGGAGACCTCATGGCACGGCTGGCCAGCAGCCCCACGTGTGAGCCAGATCTGACAGCCAGGGATGCAGCGCAGGAGCAGGCACCGCCTCCCCACCTCAAGGGACTGGATTTGTGTGTGGAATGTGCCATGACAGCTGACCTATACACTGGTGACATACACAGTGAAGAAAACATGCTCTCCTTGCCTCTCCCTCAATTCTTTCTAAACAGATATCCTGGGTGCAGAAGCAAGACAGCAGTTGTGGGATCAGCAGGCAGGACTTGCAGCCCTGTGGTGCTGTACCACCCACTCCCCTGGGTGTGGACAAGGAGCTGCCAATGTCCCGAGCAACTCGAGCATTCTGACATTCAATTGCACCTGTGTTTCCTGTTCTAAACTCATACTAACATGTTCCTGGACTTCTTAAGCTTCTGAATTTTTCCCCTTTATTTTTGATAGCAGTTCATGTTTTTGTCAGCACCTCCTCTATAAGTTCTGTACCGAACAACAGCATCTTCCAACCCTAAGTCAGCAAGCAGCAATTTATACAAAGAAGCCCTTTGATTCTTGGATCTCATCAAACAGTTGAATAATAATTTGGGGGAGAAAAAAGGAAAAGCAAGGTTAATTGTGTAGTTTTAAAGCTGTGAACTGGTATTTTTGATCCTTGATATTAAAATCAACATGTGCAGCTGAGCCTCTGAGACCTGTGATCCAAACCTGGTCTCTGAACCAACCCCTAACGCTGCTCACTGCATTCTGGGACTCGCACAACCTTGCACTCTAGAGGATTTCAGTTCAAGACATATTGAGGAATAGTTCCTATTTGAAAAACTCTTGAATCTGTGTTTCCTCTTATCATATCACCAATCTCCTGAAAGTTGGCAAAGGCCTGAAAGCTCTCTGGGCTCCTGAGTGACAGCTCCTCAAAGCACAGGAATCAACCCTATGACCTCTCTCCTCTATGAGAGTTCTGTAATCTCTTTTAAGAGATAGCATTGCTGAGGTTACCAATTTCCAGGGGCTTTGGCAATTTCTACTGTGTCCTGTTGCTGCCTGATATGGGACAGCTCTTCATCAGCTTTCCTGAAGCCCTTTCTGTGATCACCACAACACATCAAAATGATGATTGCATTCCAGATAACAACTGGGTGCCTGTGTGTAAGCAAAGCAGAGACTCTAGCCATGTGTGCTGGTACCTTCCATGTCACCTGAGCACCAGGAGTCCTTCCTGAAGCTGTGATCTGCCAGGAGCAGGTGACAGCCTGCTGCTCACCCTTGAGAGGTTCTTTGCAATGACATGAGGCCCACATCGGTTACAAATACACTAACCTGTGTGTGTTTGGGGAGGGGAGTCATGTCAAGAAAACAATTTCTAGCTGAGGATCTGGAAGCTAAACGAGTGACTTCATTGGATAAATAGTAATTTCAAGTTTAAAAGTCTACCACAATGTACAATTTTGCTTTTAGACTGATCTCTCCTTGGTGGACACCCCTTTCCTGGCACCAAGATCCCTTGGTCTTCTGAATCACTATCTAACAGCAGGCATTCCCACAGGAGGTGCCAAGGCAGAGCTATACTGGGCCACCCACAGCCAGGAGGGTGAAGCAAGACCTTACACACCAGTGAAAATAAAACTAAATGCTAAATTGGGCAAGGCAGATTCAGAGAACTAAAAGAACTCAGACCCAGAAATGTTTTCAGGAAATACAACCTACTTAAATCTATCTATCTATCTAACCTATCCATACCTCAATGCTCAACACAGCCTCTGCCCTGGGGGAGTGCCCCAAAGCCTCCACCAGAGAACTTTCCAAGCACCTGGCACAGGGAGGGTTTACAAGATCTTGACACTGGCACTGACCACAAGGCATTTTCTCCCTTTCACCCTCGTCAACCTTGCTTTTTGGGGGGTCAGAGTCAGTGGGGCCTTGGGGCCTTTTATTGTGCTTTGCTTCACATGTGCCCGCCTACTCTGTGAAGAAAAGTCCAGTTTTAGTCACAAAACACACTAGAGGGAAAGGTATAATGTGGCACGCGTTCTGGCCAAATATACTTGGCTCCATAGCCAACCCCAACGTGGAGCGGAGAGAGCCAGACCAGAGGAGGGAAGTGGCCTGCTGGATGGAGATGGGGCTCATGGACGCCTCCTCAAGCCTCAGTCCTTCATCATCAGATGCACAGTCCTCCTGCTGACTCCTTCCAGGTGGGACTCTAGGGTCAGCTCCGTCCTGCCCTGAAGTTGAGGGACAAGACTGTTCTGTCCCAGAAAGGACTCAGTAAAGGTGAACTGCCTGCCAAGGTAACGTGGCATCTTCCTCCCAGGGCTCTTCCTGAGGGTCCCAGACCAGAGCCCTGCAGCCCATGTGGAGGAGGATGCCAGGCATGCTGCTTCCACAGGTAGGAAAAGGGGACCTGGGAGTCACTCAGGAAGGAGCTGACCATAGCCAGGGCAATGACCTGCTCCCCGGTGCCCCCTCCTGGAGACAATGTTCTCCGGGCTGCTGAGGGTCCCAGAGAGTAAGAAGGACCCGATTTCCCATCCCGCTCCTGCCCTGGACGCCACCGGAGACCTGGGTGCCTACCGAACACTCCTGACAGCATCTGGGCTCTTGGCAAGGAGGGGAGTCTGTACCAGGGGAGCTGCAGACCCCACTCCCTTGGGCACCTGCCTCACCTCCCCCGCCTCCCCGGCGCAGCCAAGGCGCAGGGCTGAGGCCCACGCGGGGCTGCTCCTGGGGTTGAAAGGGGAGCGCGGATGCTTTCCCTAAGTAACTTTAAACTTCTTTCTGGTTCCCCCAAGAAACCCCAAATGCAGACGTCCTCTGGCCCTCTTATAGCATTAGACAAGAGATTGTCCTGGGCTCCGCCACCCTCCACCTGTCTCCCTCTAGCACCTCCCTCCCTCCTCCCGCATCACCCACGGGGCGGTCAGGGCCGAGGTCTTGGGCTCCGCCTGCTGTCTCCTGGGTCGCAGTTCGGCGGGTTGGGACGTGGACGTCTGTCAGCCCGAACCGATCCTGCAGGGGCCTTTAGGACCGAGAGGAGCCCTTGCTTCCCAGAGTAGCTACGAAGTCCTGCTCTCCCCGACACGGCCACAAACTGCCCAGTTCCTGACGCGACCCTCGGCCCAGGAGAAGTTGGTGGCTGGGCTGCCTCCACACACCCTCCTCCCGCCGTCCCTCATCTCCCATCCCCTCCTCCTCTTCCCCATCCTCCTCCTCCTCCCCTTCCCCCTCCTCCTACTCCTCCTCCTCCTCCTATGTCCTGTCTTTCCTCCTCCCTCTCGCCTGTCACCAGCCTCAGCCCGGAGCTGAGCCCTGGCCCCCCAGTGCCCCTGCCGCCCTGATCGCCCCGATCTCCCCCGAGTCCCCGGGATCAGAGAACTCGACCCCGCCCGCCCGGGCTCCTGGGCTCCTGCGCTCTCGGGGTGATCGGGGCGCAG